AACCTATACAAAGAGAGACAAACAATAACCCAGTAGATAACTCTAAAACCAAATTCAATCTAGAAGAAAGCAGAAAAGAGGAAATCAAGGAGTAGAAAACAAAAAACAGTAACTAGTAGACCTAACACCACACATAATTGCACTTCATATAACTGTATTTGAATATTAGCTTCTAAATCAGGGGTAGGAAATATTTTTCTTGCAAAGGACTATTTGGATACTTATAACTTCAGTGCCAGGCAAAACAAAATTATGAAGTTAAAAATTAGCCTATTACAGATTTACTGAATTTCGAGTCCCACCTGTGGCTGCCTTGGCAGGGCAAGATCAAATGATTCTACATATGCAGTATGTTCCATACCCCTATTCTAAATAGTCATACAGCAATAATTACATTTAATGCAAAGAATGACACTAAAATTTATATTGAAATAACTGAATTTATCAACAAAGACTGTCAAAATGGTTACTGCAACACGATCCAACTGTATACTACCAATAAGAAACCCAGTATAAATAAAATTATAAAGGTAGTCCAAAAGTAAAGGAATGAAAAAGATATACCATGTAAACACTGATCAAATGAATGCTGGAGTGCATACATAAACCAAGCAACAGATATCCCTGACTTTATAACTAGAAAAATTAACATAGATCACATAATAATTAAAAGAAGCAATTCACTAAGAAGACACGATAATAAATGTGTTTACATCTAACAATGGGACCTCAAAATACATGAAGCAAAACCATACAGAAGTGAAAAAAACACAAGTATGTTTAGTCTTCAATATACTTCTCTGGGTAACAGAGTATTATGACTGCTTACAAAATATCAGTTAAGAGTATAGAAAAACTGAATACTATCATCAACCAACAGTACAACTACATTTATAGCAAACTGGCCAACAGAATATACATTCTTTTCATTGTACATGGAATAGTCACCATTCTGAAAATTGACAAATTTAAAAGAAATAAAAAAGTCAACATTCAATCCTCAATCACCTTCTGACCATACTGCAGTTAAATGAGAAATCAACTGTAAATAAGGAAAAAAGCCCTCCACTTAGAAATTAAACGTGTTTTCAAATATTCTACAGATAAAACAGCAAGATGTAAGGGAAATTACATTTCATTTTCGCTCAATTTGAAATTTCCATATGTGCAGTGTAGCTACAGTAGTGGTTGGAAGGAAATTTATAGCATTAAATGTTTATTTTTGAAAAGCAAGATCTCAAAACAGTAATCTAATTTTAAGAAGTGAGGAAAAGTCCTTTTGTTCCGTGAAAAACACTTTCATTAAAATGAAAAGTTATAACCTGGAATTAAACATTTGCAAATCACATAGTTAACAAAGCTCTTACATTCAGAATATACAAAGAATTCTCAAGATTCAACAAAACAAAAAACTCAAGAAACTATGAGCAAAGATTTGAGTAATTCACGAAAGAACATATTCATATGTCAAAAACACATATGAAAAAATACTTAACATCATTAGCTATTAGAGAAATGCAAAGTAACACCACAGTTGATGCCACTATTTATCAATTAGAAGTACTAAAACAAAAAGCAAATAAAGAAAAAACTGACTGTATCAAGTGCTGCTAAGAAACTGAAGTGACTATAACTCTCATATATTGTTAGTAAGAATGCAAAATGCAACATTCAACAAACCAGTCTGGCAGAGTCTTACATAATTAAATATACACTTAACATATAATCCAGCAAACACACTTCTTGGTCTTCACTCTGGAGAAATTTTATATCCACAGAAATACATGTCCAGGGGCTGGCATTGTAGCATAGCAGGTTAAGCCACTGCCTGTGATGCCAGCATCTCATATAGGTGCTGGTTCATGTCCTGGCTGCTCTATTTCAGATCCAGCTCCCTGGTAATGCACTTAGGAAAGTAGCAGAAGATGGCCCAAGTATCTGGGACCCTGCCACCCCCATGGGAGAACTAGAAGAAGCTCCTGACTTCAGCCTGGCCCAGCACTGGTTGTTGTAGCCATTTGGGGAGTGAAGAAGCAGATCGAAGATCTGTCTCTCCCTCTCTCTCAGTATCTACCTTTCAAATAAATAAACAAATCTTTTTTTTTTTTTTTGACAGGCAGAGTGGACAGTGAGAGAGACAGAGGGAAAGGTCTTCCTTTGCCGTTGGTTCACCCTCCAATGGCCGCCGCGGCCGGCGCGCTGCAGCCGGCGCACCGCGCTGATCCGATGGCAGGAGCCAGGAGCCAGGTGCTTTTCCTGGTCTCCCATGGGGTGCAGGGCCCAAGCACCTGGGCCATCCTCCACTGCACTCCCTGGCCACAGCAGAGAGCTGGCCTGGAAGAGGGGCAACCGGGACAGAATCCGGCGCCCCAACCGGGACCAGACCCGGTGTGCCGGCGCCGCTAGGCGGAGGATTAGCCTAGTGAGCCGCGGCGCCGGCCTAAACAAATCTTTTAAAAAATTTTTTTTCTTTTTTTAAGATTTAGAGATATAGAGAGGAGAGATAGAGACAGACAAAGGTCTTCCATCCGCTGGTTCATTCTCCAGACAGCCACAATGGCTGGGGCTGGGCCAAGCTGAAGCCAAGAACCAGAAGCTTCTTCTGCGTCTCCCATGGGTACAGGAGCCCAAGGACTTGAGCCATCTTCCGCTGCTATCCCAGGAGCATTAGCAGGGAACTGGGCTGGAAGTGGAGCATCTAGGATTTGAACCAGCACCCAATTGGGATGCCGATACTCTAGGTGGAGGCTTAAGTTCCTACACCACAGTGCTGGCCCCAATAAATAAATCTTAGAAAAAAAAAAAAAGAAGAAGAATAAGAAGAAACAAAGAGAGAGAAAGAAAAAGAGAAAAAGAGGAAGAAAGAGAGGAAGAAAGAGAAAGAGAAAGAAAGAGAGAAAGAGAAAGACCTGTCCGTAAATGTCCACAGCACTTATATTTATAATCACCAATAACCGCAAAGTAAATGTCCTCCAACAGAATGGCAGCACAGCCACACAAAGGAGTACTATTGTGTAGTAACAAGGAGTGAAATATTAATATAATCAACAACATGAATGAACTTCAAAGTTACAGTGCTGAGTAAAAAAAGCCATTTTCAAAGGTTACATACAGTATAAATCCACATTTATGGCACTCCAAAAAAGGCAGAACTATACATCTGGAAAACAGATCACAGGTTGCCAAGTGTTAGGACAGACGGGTTTGACTGCAAAAGTGACAGGATTTTTCTTCGTTATGACTGTGGTGACAGTCACAGAAATCTATGAATATGGTAAAATTCATATAAGTGTACCTTTCAAAAAGGCCAAATTCACTATAAATTTTAAAAATGAAAAAGGAAAAAAAATCTAGTCCTCTTTAAGTGATTCCACTGCTATTTCTATTGTTCATTGAAATAAATTACCATCAAAAGTTTTCAAAAATAATAAAGTATATTAATATTAAAGAAATAGGCCTCAGATTTCCATTTCCAGAAGGCATCCAGACTAGATGTTCAGAAAAACTCTTCCCAATACTGAATTGGCTCAAAATGCCTTAAAAAAAGTGTATCAGAGCTTGTGCAAAAGCAGAAGCAAGTAAAGGCAGTTCTCTTACCTGAAATCTCTGGGGTCAATTTTGGAGGATTTTATAAAGATAATACACTATGTTTAACACATAGAATATTAACACCCCAGCAGTATCTGAGATAATACTCCAAAATTAAACACATTCATATTTCTGCAGTAAGTTCATAGCAGTTCACACCAAAATTTGTTCACTTTTAAAATAACTTTTGGCAGTCAAAATCTCTGGATTTAAAAGGAGTCAGTGCAAATCCAGATGAGTAAAAGCACAAGACGGGGCATTCACCTGGAAATCCGAAGGGCGACATCTTGGATGAGTTAACTAAAGAGGAATAGAAGACTACCCAGAAGAGACAATGGTGTTTGTATGTCTCTCTGTCTCCCCCTCTCTCTTTCTGTTGCTCTGCTGTTCAAAGGAGAACAGTGAAGCAGGCCCCAAATGCATGGCAAAAGCAAATCGAATATGAGTAACCCAATTTGAACAGATTATCTAAAGAACTCACAGATGAAAGTTCACAAAATGTGTTCACAGCCAAAAATCACTAAAATCACACCAAGAGTGTGAAACTTAAAAAAAAGAAAAAATTATATCCACACAAACTGTAGATAGAAGACTAATTAATTTAAAGAAGTGAAAGATGGAGAGAAAGAAAAAGAGAGAAAGAGAGAGAGAAAGGAGGAATAAAAGACTACCCAGAGGAGAAGGGTAACAGGAACAAAAACTATTTTTAAAAAGGTAAATCTGAAGAAAAGAAAAAAATTTCTAGAGATGAAAACACATTACCTTTAAGATGAAAACAACATGCTAAAAACTGGTTCAACAGCAGATTAAACCTACCTTTAGAAAGAATCAAAAAACCAACAGGTCTAAAGAAATCAACCAACCCCTTAGATAAACAAAGAACAAATAAGATGAACAACAAGAAGAAAAATCTCACTGTACCATCTTAGGGCAAATTAACATTTCTAGGACATGGTTTTCTCATGTGTAACATGCGATAATGCCCACCTCATAGAGGTGTTGTGACTATTAAAGGAAATCCAAATGTATGCTTAGCACAGAACTCAGTAAGTGTCATGTATTGGTAATTTTATAAAAACTCTGAAAAGTGCAATAAAGTAATAAAAATTAAGATTGAGACAGAAAATAAACCTATTGGTACAATGGCTTAATTTCCACATCTGTGGAAGAGAGAAGTAGGATACTTCATTTGTCAACTCTGCTAACACATTTCTTAGAGGATCTGTGGATGTCCCCCCTCTCTCTCGCTTCTTTTTCATGCACTGATCTAACTCCACTCTACTCTGCAAATCTTTCCAAATTTGCAAGTTGTTAGAGAAGAAAAAACAAAACAATCTCAATTCTTTACTCTTCATCTTAAATCCTGCATTGTAAATTTAAAAATAAATGGAAACAGAAAATTACATACTTACTTTTCATTAGTTTTCCTGATAATTCTTTCAATGGAGAAGAGGGGCTATTTCTACTGGCTACTGTAAGTCTAGAGGAGGATTCTTGGGTTTCTACAGAAGCGTGATGAGTTCCTGCTCTGGCCATTTCAAGATGAAGAGAATGCATACTGTCACATTCCTGGGAGAGCAGCAAGTGATTCTGAGTGATGTTAGTTCTACCATTCAGGTCAATTTCTTCTGACTGAGTCATAAGCAATTGGGCTGAGCTAGAATCCTCCAATCTCCTATCAAGAGACTCAGTCACAAAAGATGCTGTAGTTTCGTGCTTTTTAGATGGAGAGACAGGCTCAGCCAGTGAGCTCTGTTTTACTGTGTTCAGACTGTGTGCTCTTATTCGGGACCAAGTCGTTGAGTGGAAACTTTCGGCCTCCAACCAAAATTTAACCAGATGCTCCATTCTCCGAAGTTCCATGAACTGAATGAAATATGGGAGGACAACAGAATCGTGCAAGACTTGTTCAAGGGTCTTTGAAAGACTTGATTTGGTCTCCTGAGTCTGGTAGTCCAGACAAGATCTGCCTAAAAGTCAGAAACAAAGGAATTAGCAGTTCAGTACAAACAATTTTAGGCAACAGATGAATCTATCACTTTTAGCAACAGTGGTACCAGAGGTCTTGAATAAAATTTACTTCCTGGGGCCAGCACTGTGGCACAACAGGTTAAGCCACTGCTTGTGATGCCAGCATCATCTTGGAGCACCAGTTCAAGTCCTGGCTGCTCTGCTCCCAGTGCAGCTCCCTGGTAATGGCCTGGGAAGCCAGTGGGAGATGGCCCAAGTGCCTGGGCCCCTGTACCCAGGTAGGAGACCTGGATGGAATTCCTGGTTCCTGGCTTGCACTTGTCACAAACCCAGCTGTTGCAGGCATTTAGGGAGTGAACTACTGCAAAGACAGAGTGAGTGAGTGTGTGTGTGTGTATGTGTGTGTCTCCCTCTCTCTGTCACTCTGCCTTTCAAATATATAAATTAAAAAAATTAGAAGAAAAAAATGGCTGGCATTATTAAGCCACCAGTTGTGATGCTGGCATCTAATATCAGAGCACCAGATCTAGTCCCAGCTGCTCCATTTCTAATCCAACACCCTGATAATATGCCTGGGAAGCGGTGGAAGATGGCCCACATACCTGGGTTCCTCTCACACATGTGGGAACCAAATGGAGTTAAGGAGTGAACCAGATCTCCACCTCTCCCCATGTTGTGTCACTCTTTCAAATGAATGAATGAGTGAATGACTAAATAAACAAATCTTAAAAAAGTCTACTTCCTAACAATTAAAATGAGTAAAGAACTAAAAAAAATCAGTTTTAGTTTCTAAACAAAGTAAAGAAACAACTGTCCAAAACTTATTTAAATTATTGAAAAGTTCTATCACTCAATTAATCCTAGTATCTCTTTTAAGGCCATTCAGATTATGTAAATTCTTCAGAAAGAAATGATACTAGTTCCAAAGAAAGAAAAAGGGCCAATAAAAATATGAAAAAATATTCAACCCCATTAAAAATCCCAGGGAAGCAAATTTAAAAAAGCTGACATTTTTTGCTTATAGAAAGGGAAAAATATTTATTTATTAGAGAGGTGGAGAGAGGACACCCATCTGCTGGTTTACTCTTCAAAAGTGTCTGTAACAGGCCAGCGCCGCGGCTCACTTGGCTAATCCTCCGCCCGGGGTGCCGGCACACCGGGTTCTAGTACTGGTTGGGGCACCGGATTCTGTCCTGGTTGCTCCTCTTCCAGTCCAGCTCTCTGCTGTGGCCCGGGAAGGCATGTGCTTGGGCCCTGCACCTGCATGGGAGACCAGGAGGAAGCACCTGGCTCCCGGCCTCGGATCGGCACAGCACACCGGCCATAGCGGCCATTTGGTGGGTGAACCAACGGAAGAAGACCTTTCTCTCTGTTTCTCGTCTCTCTCTCACTAACTCTGCCTGTCAAAAAAAAAAAAAAAGTGTCTGTAACAGCCAAGGGGTTGAAGCTAGGAGCCAGGAACTCAATGCAGGTGGCAGGAACCCAACTAATGGAGCCATCACCTCTTTCTCCCAGGATCTGCATTAGCAGGAAGCTAGAATCAGGAGCTAGAGCTGGGAATCGAACCCAGGGACCCCGATGTGGGATCTAGACAACATAACCAGCATCTTAACTGCTAGACCAAATGCCCACCCCATGGAAAAAAATTTAGTTAATAACAAATACTAACAAGGGAAATAGCAACACTCCTACACACTGATGACAACATACTGGCAAAATCTTTTTGGAGAAGCACTTAGGAAGAAACAGCAAAGCCTTGGCAAACTTTAAATATGTTAATGTGTCAAGGAGTAACTCATTATTTTAAATTGCATTTCCCTGAACACTAGCCAAATGAAATATCATTTTCATATATTTATATTAAACAGTTAAATATATTTATTTAGAAACTGTTCATTTTGCTACTGGACATGTTTTATGTATATACAGGAGAACATAGGGCCATCCATTATACTTGGTGCTGTGATTTTAGTTTAAACCCATTTTTTCAAAGCCCCTTCCAATTATATAGCTCACTCTCCTATGACAGCAGTTTCATGTACTGTACTCAAGATCTCCCTCCTATTAGAAATTAACACAGGTGGCAGGCAGCCTTGAGGGACAAGGTTAAGCTGCCACTTGTGATGCCTGCATCTCACATCGGAGTGCTGGTCTGAGTCCTGGCTACCGCATTTCAGAACTGGCTTCCTGCTAATGTGTCTGGGAAAGCAGCAGGAGATGGCCCAAGTGCCTGGGTCCCTGCACCCACATGGGAGACCTGGATGCAGTTCTTAGCTCCTGGCTCTGGTCTGGCCCAGCCCTGGCTACTGCAGCCCTTTGGAGAATAAACCAGCAGATAGAAGACATCTCTCTTTCTCTGTTTTTCCCCCTCTCACTGCAACACTGCTTTTCAAATGAATAAATATTTTGTTTTTTTAAAAAGGAAGTTAGCAAAAAGTTACTTACCCAGATCTCCAAAATGAGCAGCCTCCATGTGGCTTGGCTGCTTCTTGAGTGTTGCTGTCCTGCTACTGGAAAAGGAGTCCATGTTGGCAGAAATGGCATTGATGGCAACATGACTTGGTCCTGCAGCCTCCAGCAAGGCATGATTCTTAGTGCTTTTTTGTGGGGAATGTACGGATATTGAAGCTATAATTTTTCAAAAAATTGTTAAAAATTAAACACAATTAATGGTTCAAAACTCTTATAAGAGAACTTTAAAAACTATATTTTGTAATACTTCAAGTTGGTACACCCAACAAAAATTAAAAAAAGGTAACTTACACAACAGAAAATAGCTAAGAAACATTTCAGTATTATTTATAACTCTAAAAATATTGTGTCAGAAATGAAAATTAAACAGAACTTTGAGAATTGTTACTGAGAATGAAAGCACCAAAGCTAGGAAGTGTTCTGAAACAGACTTCTTCTAATGCCTTGGTCCTTGCTTGTTTCAGAAGCAAAACTAAAAATGCAGAATAAAGGCTGGCTTGGTAGGACTAAAAAAATATTTTCACAATAATTATTTTTTAAATGAGTAATAAAATTATTCTAACAAAATACATTAATGGTTAAAGTTCAAGCCACTTAAGGTAATGTACTCTCACAATAAATATTTTCTTTTGTAGTCTGAAGAAGTAATATTGTCCTTCAGGCTTCAGAATAAAGTTAACTACCAATGTGTTGGAGATAACTCAATATTACAATACTATCAAAGTTATCCTATGAACTTGTTGTTACAGCTGAGTTAAAATTCTACTTATCCTATTTATTTTACACTAATATCAATAACTTATTAAAGATTTAAAAAATTTTTTGGCTCAATACATTGCTATAGCAAGAAGTACAGAAATTATATAGGTCACTCAACATTCTACCACACAAGATAAATATTGTCAGGTGTCTAAACGTCTGTCTACCAGCACTCAACATAAATATTCTTAGGTAACCAGACTTCTATCTACTAGTAAGTGCTCCCTATCTCAGCAGTTTCCAGATGTAAAATACAAGTTAATACTTAGTAATCTTTCTTATAAAGAAACAAAAAATACTGTAATTTGATTTCTGGCTCTTTGAGAAGTGGCTGCAGGATAAAGCAAATAAGAATGTGAATATTCGTACCTGTTTCCCAGGTATCTAAACTGATAAATCAAACAGGAATTGTGGGAATTATGGAATGGAGAGTGAATGCCTTCAAACAATTTGTTCAACTTTAGAAGACAGCTTTGATTTATTTGTACTGTCATGATAGATTGAAGGGAACAAAATCATTTCAGCAAGTTTATTAATAATTGATTTTCTTATATAGGCTGTAAGTTACAAATAAGGTTCTATAGGAATAATGAGACTGTTTCTTAATTAGATGTATGTGTAATACCAAATGTGATGAACTAAGTTGTGCAAGTCTTTTTCCCCCTCTTTTAACTGCTCTGTAAGAAGGAGTAACTCATGAATACCTGCTCCTTCCTGACGGTCTATCTTTGGTCTCCACGGTTCTACACTCTCCTAGCTGTTCATTCCCTCTGTGAAGACATGGCCTCCCTCCTTGGCCCTCTGTTTTCCAAGGCTATCTCTTGGACTCTTTCTGCTAGAAATCATACTTATTCTCAAACCTTCGATTATGACTACAGCAATAGTATCTGAACATTCTTTTTAAAAGGTATAAGTTCCTTTACTTCTCTCCTAAAATAAATTTAATAAAACACAGACCTTATTATGCCTGTAAAACAGAAAATCATGGTAACTCTGGTTGATTCAAAGAGAGTTTCAGTCATGCCCCCAGTGTGGACCCTCTTGGCAACAGCTTCTAGAGGACACCACTGGAAAACTCCCGAACACTATCTCACACCTGTTCTTTGATCTGGTATCACTATTTACTACTAGGCATTTTCAGTTTAACTTTACAGTCTCAACCTAATGTGCCCAAATATCAACTTAATCATATCTTCTCCTAAACTAACTTTCCTTCTCAACTTCTCTCTCTGCTCAATCCACCAGTTTCCAAAGCTCAAAATCTTGGTCCCATTCTTTTTCATTGTTATCGCTTTACTTGCTGCTATTCATTTTTATCTCTTTACTTGATTCTTCCTTCAAGATATTAAAAAATATTAGCTAGTTCGGCCATTGTGGCCATCTGGGGAGTGAACCAGTGGATGGAGGACCTCTCTGTCTTTGCCTCTCTGTAACTTTTTCAAATAAATAAATAAATATTTAAAAAATATATTAGCTAGGCCACGATATTTAAATATCTTCTTATGTACGTATGTATGTATTTTCAAGATTTATTTATTTGAAAGGCAGAATTACAGAGAGGCAGAGGCGGAGAGAGGGGGGAGAGGGGGAGGGGGAGGGGAGGGGGAAGGGGAGGTCTTCCATCCGCTGGTTCACTCCCCAATTGGCTGCAATGGTCGGAGTTGAAGCCAGGGGCCAGGAGCCTCTTCTGGGTCTCCCATGCAGGTTCAGGGGCCCAAGCACTTGGGCCATCCTCCACTGCTTTCCCAGACCATAGCAGAGAGCTGGATCAGAAGTGGAGCAGTCAGGACTCGAATCGGCACCCAAATGGGATGCCAGCACTGCAAGCAACAGCTTTAACTGCTTTGCCACAGCACTGGCCCCTGTATTTATTTTCAACACCACATCTCCAGCACAGGTCTTGCTACATTACAGAAAACTGATGAGATCTCTAATCTACACAACTCTTCCAGGCTAAACCTGCACAAACACACCATACTTACGACATGGTATCTTGCCAAAAACCTACAATGGCTTCCTGTTTTCTCTGTCTCAATTCACTGTTCTGGTCTTGTGACCAACCCCAACCTCATTTCAATTTTTCTGTAAAAATTTGCTTTACTTGTCTAAAGATCTGTCAAATATATATGCAAAGAATTAAGCTGAGCCGGTGTGGATTCCATTTGATCCTTCTTCATTTCCAGGAAGTCTTTCCTAAACTTCAGAAAACATTTACTGATTTCAAATTCCTCTGACTTCCTTGTAATACTTCACTTAATATGAGTAATTCAAATACTGAGGGGGAGGCTTTGTTAAAACTAGATAAAAACAGCTACAGGAGAGCACACTGTGCTGGCTGCTCTATGCACTGTTGTTTGGACATTATTTCATTGACCTCTACACCGATACTGCAAGACTGGTATTTTCCTCAGTTTAAGAGAGTTCCAGACTCCTGGTTTTGGACTGGCCCCATCCTGGCCACTGTAGCCATTTGGGGAAAGACGGAAGACTGATCTCTCTGTAACACTACCTTTCAAATAAATAAATTTTAAAAGAGAAAAAAAAAGAATTTATCAAACAAAAACAGAAAATTCACCACCACCAAACCAACCCTACAGGAATGTTGGAGTCATAAATTAGAAGTAAAAGAATCACAACAACCATCATGAAACACAAGACAGTACAAAATTCACTAACAGAATGTAAAACACAAAGAGAAGAAAATCTAACTTGATGACAGAAATCTACCAAAACACAAGAAAATTAAGAGGCAGAAAGCAACTAACAAAATGACCAAAGTTAGTTCTTATCTATCAAAACGATACACCACATAAATGAAAACCAAAACCAAGCTAGAGTAGCCATATTCATGTCAGAAAAAAGATTTTTAAATCAAAAACTATAAAAAAGACAAAGAAGGACATTATATATTCATAAGAGGATCAATTCAGCAAGAAGATATAATAATCATAAATATACATGACCTTAATACAACACCACTCAAATATATTAAACAATATAATTAGATATAAAGGGATAAACAGACTCATTCAGTAAGACTGGAGAACTTAACAATGCACTGTCATCAATGGACAGATTATCTAGACAGAAAATCAACAAAGGTACATCAAAGTTGGAATGTATTATAGGCCAAATAGATGTAATGGATATTTAGAGAACATTTTATCCAACAGTTGCAGAATATATATTCTCATCAGCACAAAGAACATTTTCTAGAAAATTAGGCCACAAATCAAGTCTCAGTAAACTTTTAAAAAGTGAAAGAACATCATGTATGTTTTCAGACCACAAAGGACTAAAACTAGAAATCAACAACAAGAACAGAAAATTATAAATACATGGAAATTGAACATGTTCCTGAATGACCAATGAATCACTGAAGACAAATTAAAAAGCAGGGTTGGCACTGTGGTACAGGTCAAACCACCGCCTGCAATGCTGGCATTCTATATTGGTGCTGTTTCAAGCCCCAGCTGCTTCACTTTCAATCCAACTCCCTGCTAATGTGGCCAGGGAAAGCAGTGGAAGATGGCCCAAGTCCTTGGCACACTTTACCCACGTGCCAAACTCAGAAGAAGCTCCTGACTTTGGCACCTCTTCTGTCTCTTCTTCTCTGTCTCTAACCCTGCCTTTCAAATAAATAAATAAATCTTTAAAAAAAAAAAAAAAGAAATCAAACATTTCTTGAAAGAAATAAAAATACGACATCAAAATTTCAGGGATACGATACAGCAAAAGCATTATTATGAGGGAAGTTTATAGCTATTAAGTGCATACTTCTAAAAAAATAGAATTCAAAAAAACAATCTAACAATGCAGCTAAAGGAACTAGAAAATAACCAACCAACCCAAAATTAGCAGGAGACAAAAACTAATAAGGATCAGAACAGAAATAAATGAAATTGAAACTAAAAAATAGCAAAAGATCAAAAGAACAAAGAGTTGTTTTTAAAGAAAGATAAACAAAATAGACTAATCTTTAGCCAAAGAGAAAAAGAGCAAAAATTGAAATAAATAAAATTAGAGATGAACATGGAGACATTACATGGAAATACAAAAGGATAAAAAATTACTATGAATGACTACATGGTAATAAACTGGAAAACCCTGGAAAAATGGATAAATTCCTAGATACATAAAATCTACCAAGATTAATCAATAAGTATAGAAATTTTCAACAGACCAATAAATAATGAGACTGAAGCAGTGATTGAATATATTCTATCAAAGAAAAGTCTAGGACTTGACAGCTTTACAATTGAATTCTACAAAACATTTCAAGAGGGACTAACTCGACTACTTGTCAGGGTATTCCAAAATACTGAAAAGGATGGAATTCTGACAAAATTTCTGAGGCCAATATTACTCTGACACCAAAACCAAAGATACAACACCAAAAGAAAACCATAGACCAATATGCTTGAGGAACAAAGATGCAAAAAAGCTCAATGAAATATCAGCAAACTGAATCCAACACTACATCAAAAAGATCATACATCATGATCAAGTGGGACACATTCTAAGGATGTAAAAGTGATTCCACATTTACAGATCAATAAACATAGTAAATCACATCAACAAAACAACTATGATCATCTTAATAGAAGCAGAAAAGGCATTTGATAAGATTCCACACCCTCCCATGATAAAAATTATCAACAAATTGAGTTTAGAAGGAAAATATCTTAAAACTATAAAGACTATATATTATAAACCCACAGTGAATATCTTACAGAATGAAGAAAAATTGAAAGCATTTCTCATCAGACCCGGAACAAAACAAGAATGTCTACTTTCACCACTCTTTTTGAACATATATTGGAAATATTAGCAAGAACAACCAGGGAACAGAAACAAAGCAAGCATTGAAAATGGAAAGATGGAAGTCAAAACACCCATGTTTGTAGGTAACATGATTTTATACACAGAAATATCTATAAACATTTTGCCAAAAAGCTGTTAGAACCAATAAGACAATTCAGTATATAGCCAGTGTTGCGGTATGTTAAGCAGCCACCTGCAATGCTGGCAACTCATATGGGCACATGTTCAAGTCCAGGCTGCTCCACTTCCAATCCAGCTCCCTGCTTATGCACCTATTAAAGCGACAGAAGATGGAGGTGCTTGGGCCCTTGCCACCCATGTGGGAGACCCAGATGAAGTTCTAGGCTCCCAGTTTTGGTCTGGCCCAGTTCTGGATGTTGCAGACATTTGGGGAGTGAATAGCAAATGAAGATCTCGCTCTCTTCCTCTGTCTCACAGTCTGCCTTTCAAACAAATAAATCTTTTTTCAAAAAAGAAAGAAAACTCATTCATAATAGCTACTAAAAAGTTAAATATTTAGGAATAATTCAACCAAAGACATTAAGGATATCTATAATGAAAATTATATAGTGCTGATAAAAGAAATCATCAAGGACACACATACAAAGAAGACAACATATTAACACCATTAAAATATCCATACTACTGAAAGCAATATAGGTTCAGTATAAAAATACCAAGGACATTCTTCATAAAAATAGAAAAAAAAATTCCAAACTCATATGGAACCACAAAAGACACAGAACAGCGAAGCTATCCTAATCAAAAAGATAAAGCTAGAGGAATCATAATACCTGATTTCAAACCATACCACAAAACTAGGACAATTAAAACAGCAGGGTATTACTGGCATAAAAACCAACACACAGATTAATGGAACAGAATAGGGAACCCAGAAGTTAATCCATGTATATACAGCTAACAGATTTTGGTCAAAGGTACCATGAACACAAAGAAAGGAGTCTTTCCAATAAATGGTGCTGGCAAAACTAGATTTACATATGTAGAACAATGAAATTAGATCCTTATCTCTTACCATATGCAAAAATAAACTTGAGATGGATCAATGATCTACATGGAAGACCTGAAACTATGAAAACTGCTAGAAGGAAACATGGGGAAAATATTTCAAGACACTGGTATAGGGGACGGTGCTGTGGCATAGTGGGTTAAAGCCCTGGCATCCCATATGGGCACCGGTTCTAGTCCCGGCTGCTCCTCTTCTGATTCGGCTCTCTGCTATGGCCTGGGAAAGCAGTGGAAGATGGCCCAAGTCCTTGGCACCCATGTGGGAGACCTAGAAGAAGCTCCTGGCTCCTGGCTTTGGATCGGTGCAGCTCTAGTCATTGCGGCCATCTGGGGAGTGAACCAGCAGAAGGAAGACCGCTCTCTCTGTCTCTACTTCTCTCTGTAACTCTTTCAAATAAATAAAATAAATCTTTCAAAAAAAAAAAAAAAAAGACACTGGTATAGGCAATGATTTTTTTTTTTTTAATTTTATTTGACAAGTAGAGTTATAGACAGTGAGAGAAAGAGACAGAAAGAAAGGTCTTCTTTCCGTTGGCTCACCCCCCAAATGGCTGCAATGGCGGGAGCTGCACCGATCCAAAGCCAGGAGCCAGGTGCTTCTTCCTGGTCTCCCATGCAGGTGCAGGACCCAAGCACTTGGGCCATCCTCCACTGCCCTCCCAGACCACAGCAGAGAGCTGGACTGGAAGAGGAGCAACCAGGACTAGAACCTGGGGTGCCAGTGCCACAGGCGGAGGGTTAACCTAGTGAGCCACAGCACTGGCCCCAGCAATTATTTCTTGAACAACACCCCAAAGTTCAGGCAACAAAAGCAAAATTAGATAAATGAGATTATATCAAACTCAGAAGCTTCTGCACAACAAACGAAATAATCAATAGAGTGAAGATACATCCAACAGAATAGGAGAAAATATCTGTAAGCTACTTATCTATAAGCAAAGGTTTAATATTCAGAATATCTCAATCATTATATCAAAGAGATACCAGCTCTACCATGGTTACCACAGCACTGTTCCCAACAGCTAAGATATGGAATCAACCAAAGTGTCCATCATCAGATGAATGAATAAAAAAATTATGTAAGTATATAATGGGAATACTACTCAGTCATTAAAAAGCCTTTACCAAGAATGAAATCTTGTCTTTGCAGCAAAATGCTTGGAACTGGATGTTATCTTGCTAATGAAATAAACCAGACCCAGAAAAATACCCTCAAATATAGGAGCTAAAAAACAACAACAACAAAAAAAACCTTCAATCTGAACAGAGAATGGTGATTACTAGAGACTGGGAGGGGTGACAGAGGGAGCTGGACATAGGTACCAAATCAGAGTCAAAGTCACAACATAGTGGGGTGACTATAGTTCACAATAAGCTAGTATATACTGTACGAACAAACAGAAGCTCTAATCCTCCAACCATAAAATAATATCAAAGAAGGGGAAATTCTGATTATCCTGTTTTGATCAAAATACACTGTATACATATATTGAAATATCACACTGTAGCCCATAAATATGCATAATTACTGTTATTAAAAATGTTTTTGAAAAGTACCTTCTACCCAACATACCAAAACTGAACATCTAATTTCCTATCTGGTTCTGTTAGGCAAGCCACAAAGGTAGGTATCAAACTTTATCTCCTCCTTCACACCTTGTATTTAAATCAGTCACAGAGTTCTATACACTTTGCCTCCTAATTTTTTGCATAATTAATAACTAATCCAGGTCTTCTGTGGAATTATTTGATTATTGTTCCTTTCCCCTATCAATCTGTAAGTTCAATGAGGGCAGGATTCAAGTCTTTTTTTGTTCACTGTTATAGCCATAATTTTTGTCTAATGCCTAGAACAAGAGGCGTTCTGTAAATGGTAGCCATTATTAGTGGCTACTATTCTGTGCCTAAGTTTGTCTTTCTAATCAAACTGTAATCTTTCTGAGGCACTGTTTCCTGTAACTGCTTCTATACCAGCCTAAGGTTAAGTCAGTGAGTAATAGGCACAGATCATGTACCATCATAGAGTGTAAGCATGGTAGAGATTTAGATTAGCTAGGCCAATGTCCCTATTCTACAAATGAAGAAGCTGAAGGAAGCTCCCTGACTTACCTAGGTCATACTGTCAGTAGCCAAGGTTCAGAGTGGAAGCTGGTATTCTGACTGCCTGAGACAAAGTTCCTTCCTTCCACTACAATCAGATCTAGACTTTACAAGACTCTACTCGCTAAGGGTTTTAAGCCTTCTCTGTCAAGCAAATTTTGCTTAAAGGAGGCAATCTGAACTAATGTGGAACCCAGCTGGCTGTAAATTATCAGAAATAAATAAGTTATAATTAGTCTCTGGGAAACTGGGCATATACAGTAAATACTAAGTGTTAGCTATACAATATAAAAATATTAGAAAAATCTAGTAAGCAGCTATCTGTAGATTTGATATAATAAATTACATTTATAACACATACATGTATATAAACACGTATATGTATACATAATGACCATAGAAAAAATTTCCATTATAACTTTTCCATTCCAATCTCTGTACAGTGGACATAACTAAATCATTCAAAAACACAGCAGAGATTACTATCTAAAAAAATAATGTTCCAACCTGTAAATAAGGACAATGTATTGGGCCCAACAAAGTACCCTGACTAATCTTACATTAAGGCCATGCAAAGTAATAAAGCAGTGAAAACCACGAGCATCCACACTTCTGGATAAATGGCAGTCCATTACCAGACTGCTCAGTTACAGGTATTCTTGGTCTTTTATTAAAAAGAGTCAACTAATTACTTTTAGTAAACAATCAAATGTGGGATCGCTAGGGAGGGACTTAGCTCCCTGTTATCGACAGTACAGCCAACAAAAGCCCAGCAGAAATCTCATTATCCAGGGACAGCATGGTGCGGTGGGTCAAGCCACTGCTTGGGACACCTGTATCCCATATTGGAGTGCCTGGTTTGAGTCTGAACTACTGCATGCTTCTAGAAGACCCAGATTTCCTGCTGAGGCGCCTGGCCGGCAGCAGATGATCACCCAAATAGCTGGGTTCCAGCCACTCTCACAGGAGACAAAGATGGGAGTTCCCGGTTCAGCCTGCCCAACCTTGGCTCTTGCAGGTGTTTGGGAAGTTAATCAATGAACAGAAAATTTCTCTCTCCCTCCTCGCCTCCCTCCTTGTCACTCTGCCTGTCAAATAAATAAATTTTGGAAAAGGAAATTAAAGCTCATGGTGTGCTAAGTGTTTAAGACCATACAGGTTAAAGAGGGAAATAAGTCACGATCATAGTTACAAAATAAGGCAGAAAAGATTAATGCTGAAAGAAAGAACAAGGTAACAGGATTAAAGAGCTCATAAATGCACAACACAAAATTTTTTAGTGCCATGAATGCCACTGAACTCACCTTTAATGGACTTGACATCTGAGGTCTTCTCTTGTTCTTTGCCTTTCACTAGAAGACAAAGGAGCATTATGACCAACTTTTGAAAGACACATTTTATAGATTGTAAAAACGAGACAAGTTTTATTCTAACAGATGAGTATTCAAAGATCAGAGCGGGGCAAGGCAGGTCAGCTAAAAAAGGTTTCTCTAAGGAAGTAACCTCTGAATGGCATTCAAAAACATAAGGAATGCAGACAATGTAGTCATAATACAAGGGTTCAAATTCTGGCTTTCTCATTTATTAGCCAAGCAATCTTGGAAAAGATAATTTACTGCTCCGGGTCTTAATTTCCTTGCCTTATACAATTAGGTCTACTTTAGAGGGTTACTGGTTAAAAAAAAAAAAAAAAGCTAAAACCAAACATCTGTATAGGGCACAGAACAGTAACTAGCATAGATTTGGAATAAATTTAGGATCAACATTAATATTATTACCATGTGCTACCCACTACACTGGCTATTACTATTAGATACAAAGAAAGAATGAAGAAAGAGTTTTTAGTTGTGTATCACTTGATTTCTTCTTTAGCCCTGTCCCCAGTGGCATCAAAGACGAACACTGTAAACTCCTAACACTCAAGCCTTAACAATTTGTCTCTAAAATAACCATACACCCTCCTCTATTATACAAAACAGCGAAGATTCTACTGCAGATAAGCTAAAATATAACATCCAAGGAAGGAAGGTGCAAGCCAGCTTAAGTCAAGCGTGAACACTGTTATGGGAGCTGACCTAAGACGATTTTTAACCCTCTACTTTTCTGGTTTCTTTCAATATTAAACTTCCTTTAATCTCCGATTCCTCAAAATAAGCTATCTCCCAGCATGCGCATCTGTCTACTTAACCCTTTTCAATATTAGAAGTTGAAAGGCTAGAAACAGGAAATAACTAGGTGTCAGAGTAGCTCCCTGAAGTCCATTCATCAACAGCTATTTGAAAGCACAATTATGTGCCACTCTCCAGGCTTTTCAGAAGACAGCATCTTCCCTTCAAGTCTACATTCGACTACGTGGAGGCCAAATGGGAACCAATGAAGAAATAACATCTCAGGAGCCGATCACTGCATCGTGAAGATAAAATATGAAAATGTGGCAGGCTGACAGCACCTGCGGCCACGTCAGCAGCACCTGCCAAACAACTGCAGCTGAAAACATTACCCAGTCTCAGCTACCACAGCGCTTCCCTCTCCTGGTCCCTAGCCCTCCTCTGGTAACCCCCCACCTCCCTGACCTCTGGTTTGCTGGGTTTCACAGGAAAATGGCAGGCCCCTCTTTTATTGTTCACTATACATATTTCCTGGCTGACCTGACCCATTCTTAAAGCTTTCATACGTATGCTGTGTCTCCTACATTTACTCATGTATCTCCACTCTAAATTTTTTAAATCTCAAATTCATACAGTCACCCATACCCATCTTCAATTCCATTTCTCCAAAACAGAATGTATCTTTTCCCAATCCTGTCCCTACCTCAGTCTTCATCTTCCTGCGATTCTATCATCAGTTACTCCGGCCAACGTCTGGGAGTCATCCTTAATATTTTGCCTCCAACACAAACCACTTAAGACCAACTGATTCTACCTCCCCAGTTTCACTTCTGTTAGCCTTAAACCATTGTCCTACTAATCAGGACTCCTATGTAATACTTCAAGCATAAAAATGTACAACAGCCTATCAAATGATAGCATTTTTTTGTCCCCTATTTTATAATATATAGTCAAGGTCCCTATGAATCTCTACCTGACTCCACTGGCTCTTCTTCCCTTGCCAGGTAAATACTAACCCTAAATAACATGTCTTCTTGGTATACTAGTTTTTGTTTTTACCATAAACAACTATAAATGTATAAAAAATGAAAACATGGTATCTGCACATCTTTAAAATTACACAAATGATACTTTATACATACTCGTGACTTCCATTCAGTAATTCAGTGTCTATACTGACGCACTTCTGGTTTATTCAATTAGCTCTATTCACTTTAGCTACTTAATTCCTTTTTAAATATGCCTTTATTAATCCATCTTCCTATTAATGAACATTTACTTTCTTCCCCAATTTTCACTTACAAACATTCATCTGATTCTAGTTCAGTCTTCCTATACATATATGCATAAGTCCCTGGAAATGGAATCACTAGGTAACAAATTGTGTACCTTCTTAATGGAAGTGACTGTGTCAATTTACGCTCCTATAGATAAGCTGTATAATCTCATCTCTGGAATGTTTAATTTTTGCCAGTTTAGTAGTTTTAAAATGCTATTTGAGGGGCCAGTGCCATGGCATATCAGGTAAAGCCACTGCCTACAGTGCCAGCATCCCATATGGGCACCACTTCCAGTCCCAGCTGCTTCACTTCCAAACCAGCTCTCTGCTATGGCCTGGGAAAGCAGTGGAAGAAACTCCTGGCTCCTGGCTCCAGGCTCCAGATTGGCCCAGCTCCACCCATTGCGGCCAAGTGGAGAGTGAACCAGCAGATGGAAGATCTCTCTCTGTTTCTACCTCTCCTCTCTATAACTCTGCCTTTCAAGTAAATAAATAAATCTTTGAAAAAAATGCTATTTGAAGTTTCAGATTCATCACCTTGTTTCCTTTGAGGTTAAACTTTTTTTTTTTTTTTGAGGTTAAACTTTTAAGATTTATTTTGTTTATTTTGAAAGAGTGACAGAGAGAGGTAGAGACAGAGGTCTTCCATCCACTGATTCACTCCCTAGATGGCCGCAATGGCTGGAGCTGCGCTGATCCAAAGCCAGGAGCCAAGAGCTTCTTCTGGGTCTCCCATGTGGGTGCAGGGGCCCAAGGACTTGGGCCATCTTCTACTGCTATCCCAAGCCATAGCAGAGAGCTGGATCAGAAGAGGAGCAGCCGGGACTAGAACAGGCGACCATATGGGATGTCGGCGCTTCTGGCCAGGGTTTTAACCCACTGTGCCACAGCACCAGCCCCTAAACATTCTTTCATATTTAGAAAACATTTAGGTTTCCTCTTTCATGAAGCCCTTTTTCACATTCTTTGTGTTTTACTTGCTACTTGCAGAAACTTTATATATATACACACACACACACACACACTATAATCTAGAAACTAATATTTCATTGTGTTACAAATATCTTAGGTATATTTTATTGCATTTTTATTTTAATGTAGTCAAATTAAGATTACATGGGTTCTACTTTCCTGTGTTTTAAAGGTTTATTTATTTGAATGGCAGAGCATCAGAGACAGGGACAGACAGACACAAAGACGGGAGAGGGAAGTGGGGAAGAGAGAGACAAAAGACCTTCTATGCACTGGTTCAATTCCCAAATGGCCACAACAGCCAGGGCTGGGCCAAGTTGAAGCATGGAGCCAGAAACTGTCTTGGGTTAAGGGCCCAAGTATTTGGGTTATTTCCCACTGCCTTCCCAGGCACATTAGCAGGAAGAAGGGCAGTCAGGACTCAAACTGGCACTCCAATATGGGATGCCAGCATCGTAAGCAGCAGCTTAACCTACTGCACCACAATGCCAGTCTACTTTTTCAAAAAATTCCTCACTGCCCCAAGATCAGAATCTCACCCTGCCCCTGCATTTTCTATATAATTTTAAGGGTTTTTTTTTCATGTTGTGGGTTCTTATGTAACTGGAAATTATTTCTGTTTATCAGGGATTGAAAACTATACCCCATGGGCCAAATTCAATCTAATATCAGTTTTCTATAAATAAAGTTTTATTGTAATATAGCCATGCCCATTTTCTTACATACTTTTCACAGTTACAAAGGTAGAGGAGAGTGTGACAAAAAACATCTGGTCCATTCAAGAAAAACCTTTCTGACTTCTTAATGTGTATGACAGGAGATAGGAAATTTAATTTTTTTCCTTTGCCAGATGGATAATCAACATCCTTTACCAACTAGTTCATCCTTTCTCAAAGGACTAGAAACTTTTTTTTATAAAGTTTCCGTATATACCTAGGTCTGTTTCTATGCATTCATTTTGAAAACATATCACAGGGATCAAGAATAGAGGGAAACCAAATGGAAGGCTATAGCAAAATTACATTGTTTCCTCAATCTTCATAAAACCAGCTCCCTCTTGACTTCTGTGACTTCTTGACTTCTGTGACATCTCCTTGGAGGATGTCCTTAACCACTCAATCTAAACAGAGGTAACTGCCTAATCCAAAGTGTTAACTTGGTAAGGGGGTGGTAAGAAGTGGGTAGAAGTGGACATATTCTGGTGTAGGCCTTACACATTTGCTGAAGGATCAGATACAGAGTAGAAAGAAAGAGAACTTCAAGGATATACTAAAACTGTAGCCTGAGCAATTAACTAAAAGGCCAAAAATCTGATGAACAGGTTTCAGAGTTAATAAGTTGGAGTTAATAAATTGGACTAACAGCTGGATAGACCAATCTAAATTCAAGGGATAGGATGCAAGCTGGAGATATAAATTTGGGTATCATCAACATACAGGTCATATTTAAAACTTCCACCCTTGGGCCGGCGCCACGGCTCACTAGGCTAATCCTACGCCTTGCGGCGCCGGCACACCAGGTTCTAGTCCTGGTCGGGGCGCTGGATTCTGTCCAGGTTGCCCCTCTTCCAGGCCAGCTCTCTGCTGTGGCCAGGGAGTGCAGTGGAGGATGGCCCAAGTGCTTGGGCCCTGCACCCCTTGGGAGACCAGGGTAACTACCCGGCTCCTGCCATCGGATCAGCACGGTGCGCCGGCTGCAGCGCGCCGGCCGTGGCGGCCATTGGAGGGTGAACCAACGGCAAAGGAAGACCTTTCTCTCTCTCTCTCTCGCTGTCCACTCTGCCTGTCAAAAAAAAAATTTTTTTTTAAATAAATAAAAATAAACTTCCACCTCTGACACACCTAAACCTCCAAAAAGCATCTAGAACCAAGGGATGAAGGACCTCTTTCTCTGCCTCTCCTCTGTGTAACTCTGACTTTCAAATAAATAAATAAATCTTTAAAAAAGAAACATAAAAATGAGATCATTCCACTTTTTTTTCTTTTTGACAGGCAGAGTGGACAGTGAGAGAGACAGAGAGAAAAGTCTTCCTTTTCCGTTGGTTCACCCCTCAATGGCCACTGCAGCCAGCGCACCGCACTGATCTGAAGCCAAGAGCCAGGTGCTTCTCCTGGTCTCCCATGCGGGTGCAGGGCCCAAGTACTTGGGCCATCCTCCACTGCACTCCCGGGCCACAGCAGAGAGCTGGACTGGAAAAAGAGCAACCGGGACAGAATCTGGTGCCCCGACCGGGACTAGAACCCGGTGTGCCGGCGCCACAGGCAGAGTTTGGGCCTATTGAGCCGCGGTGCCGGCTAAGATCATTCCACTTTAAATATTTTTTTAAATAGTCTCTCTCAACTTGGAACAAAACCCACCAATAGTCTAAAACCTTTCAATCATCTGATACTGGCCAACCTCTCTGCCACATCCACAGTAGCCTTCTTTCCCTTCTAGACAGTCATCAACTCACGTCCTCTGAACGTGGCATTCCCCATACCTGTAGTGCTCTAACCTGGTTTCTGTCAAGATACCACCTGCTGATCTAAGTTTCAAGGTCATCTGCAGAGACCTTCCTCTAACATTCAACCAAGGTCTTTTTTCCCCTTCATTACACTTTACTCAGTTTGTGAATACACACCAAATACACACACACACACACAGAGACATTTGTGTGCTTATTTATTGTCTATCCCAGCAGGCAATAAGCTCCATGGATGCAGGGACTCTGTCTTGTACTGCTGGATGGTAAGGACTCAGCACAGTACCTGGCAAACTGTAGGCACTCAGAAGTACATGGTGAATGGTCATGTCTTGTGTAACTAGCTTTACTAAGAAAACTTTTTTACCTTAAAAAAAAAAAAAGGCAAGCTAAACATTTTAACCCTGTCAGACACATTAGAGAGCTATTAACTATACTTACATCCTTTACTAACAAAGCTTCCTACTACCATTTTGCCAGCCTTCATTCATTCACCACCTACTATCAGTTACTAAAATCCTGCACCTATTGAGAGGAATTCTTTAGTCGTCTGGAGTTGAATGGGGCCTTTTGGAATAATCTAATTCTCAGTAGAGCAAAGAAAGAGAAACGGGTTAACTGGCCTGCTGCAGGTTACACGGCTGGGAGCTCAGATGGCATGTGAACCCCAGGCTCTGATGTGGCTTAGTGCTTTTTCAGAAAACCTGTTTCTGTCCGGTCCGGTTTCTTTTTAGTAATAGGGACAAAACCACTGTCATCCACGACAGACTCACACTCGTTCACTTCGGATAGGTACTCTTCATGAAATCCACAGCCTTGCCCTCTACTAAAAAACTGGGCAGTTACCACCACCGAAAACCCGACACAGAAGTAGTTCCTTTCTATCTGAAGTTAGGGTTTCAGCAGTTAGTGAATGTGCTAAGTCATCAAAACAAGCAACCTTGCTCCGTAGGGGAACTTCAGCAGTAAGTCATTTTATTTTTAAAGACTGCAATTTCCCTTCCCCCTACAGAGGAAACTGGAAAACAGCACTAGTTGAAGAAAGCAGTTTTTCCATGTGTTGCTTTTAGACATAAAATCCTCAATATTTGGAAAAATCCGAGGCTTCCGTAATAAGGTACTAAAGGGATGTCCCTGAGCTTGAGCCACAGCCTCCCCCCGCCCCCCCCCCAGCAAACCACACACACAAGAAAAAAGAAAAAGAAAAAGAAACCAAAAACACCCAAAGAGGTATTCTTAAGCAAACAAGCATTCACTTCCAAGAGTTCCAGCAACCACTTTGGGACCAGCGCGACAATTCCGCCGCGACCTCGCGCGAGGAGGCCACCTACTCCCTCCCTGCAGAGACCCGGAGCAGTGGGAGGCATTCGGGGACGTCAGCGCGGAGGCCGGGAGGCTCACGGAGGGCCCCGTCGCCGCCCGGGAGGAAGCCCTTGCAGGCCCACCTGCCCCACCGCCAACCCCTGAGGCCCGGCCTGGCTCCCCCGCCGGCACCCCCTCAGCTACCTTTCCGCCGGAAGAAGGACATGGCGGGGCCCGGGTCGGGGCGGAGGGCGCGGGGGGACTGTCGCGGGGAGGGCCCGGCTCCCCTCATTCAGCAACCGGCCCGGACTTCCGGGCCCGCAGGGGCCGCTGCACTAGCCTGAAATAGGACCCTTCTTCCGGGTGTGGGCCCCACCGCTTCCTCGAGATGCCCAGGCAGCTCCTGCCGCCATATTATCAACAAGCCGCCCGCCCGGAGTTCCGGTCCTTCCCCGCGCGAGGCTTCACGGGAGGCCCAGCCTCCGGCCCCGCCCCCTGCCTCTCTCCCTCTCCGCCTCCTCCCGTGGGTGGAAGAGTGCGCGCCGCCGCCTCCCACGTGACCCTGGGCGTGTGCGGCCTGCGCCGGGTCCCGTGACCCTGGTAACCTGCACATGGCCGCGATTCCCGCTGCAGTTTTGTAGCTACCGGAGCAGGCTCCTCGTGGAGCGCTGCAGACTGGAGCGGGAGACCCTCCCCCCTCCCCAGCAGTTTATATAATGTGGCGCCTCGGGTCCTGAGCCCTCGGCGGATAGGCGCCTTGCAGAGCGTGCGCTTCCAAAAAAGTCGGGGTGTCAACTCCTCCACGCTCTAGCTTGGCCCCTCGGTTCGAGTTTGCTCTGAGATGCTGGGCCAGCCTGAGAAGCTTCACCCTGAAACCCCCACTCCCCTACCCAGCCCTTGCTGTCCCCGAAGGAGCAGGTGGCCCCCGGCGTGTAAGTTCGAAACGAACCCGAACCCTGAGGAGAACCCGGGAATGAAAAGGGGAAAGTGCGAATTTTAAATTTGAAAGGGAAAGCCACGTAATACTCTCTCTCCACCTCGAAAGCTGAATGAAGCAAGCCTCCCCGCCGCCCCTTGGGTGCCCCTGGGGACCCCGCGGTGCGCTCAGCGCCTGGGTGCTGATGCTATGGCTTGAACCTGGAGCAGCGCCAAGATAGTAACAACGCAACCGATGTTCGCAGGTTGCTGTGTGTTTTATCACGTCTATGGCAGGGTTCATTCGTGTTGGGGGCTGTTTCCAGGTGCCTGAAAGATGAGCAGAGCTGACGTTTCTTTGGAAACGTGCCCTGCGCAAGTACTTTGCTGAACCCTGCGGATTTAGTGATAGCCCTTGGAGCCGGTCGGTCTGGGTGAAAGGAAAAACGGCACAGAAAAATAAAAGCCGCCTGCCCCCATCAGATCACAGACTAATTAGGTTTGAAGCCTGGCTTTCCAGACCTGATTTTCCTCTGGGTAGAGAGAGTGCCTGCAGGAACGCTGGCTGGGCAGGAGCCAGACGGACTGGGGGTGAGTTTGGATGCCCGAGTCGGGTGTGCGCTGCTGGGCGCCTGAGCAACCACCCATCTCCCCGGGCCCCGGGGTGGGAAATGCGGGGTGGGAAATGCGTCTGAAAACCAGTCTGCGCCCCGGGGCACCGCACCCCGCTGTGGCCACTGATTCCGCGGGTCCTGCCCCCTCTCCCTCCCAAGGACCAGCAAGCCTGAGGTTCTGGTTCTTTCTGAATCATCATCCATTAAAGTGTTTGCTCAGGGAAGCTCCCTGTTAAGAGTAGGTCGTTTTAATCTCTTGAAATTTGATGATTCACATATAAATAAAGTTAAAAATAAACAAGAGTTTTAAAAACAAGAGTATTCCACCGGCCTGAATAACCAGTTGTGGCAAACTGATACTCTGCGTTGGATTTTTCAAATTAATCTGTAAGAGTCACTTTATATGTAAAATTAAATTTTTTTTACCAGGAGTTCCTTTAATTACGTTCCTAATCTTTAAGGGAATCCTCGCAGGTTTTTCTTAATACCAGTTGTATTAATTACAACAAATCAGTGAGGTAAAATCTGTTAATTAGCAAAGTCTGTGAGTAAAATTAATCTCCCATGACAAATACCATTTACAAAGTAATGAACAGTATTCTACAATAAACATTCTATAAAAATAGCTTTCTAGCTCAATCATTCATAATCCAAAGGAAACTATTGCAAAAAATTATATTTATTATATAGGAAAAGAAAGTTCCTTCTTTTTTTGAAAGGCAGAGTGACTGAAACAGAAGGAGAGGGAGAGATCTATCCATTAGTTTATTCCACAAATGCCCACCCAGCTGGAGCTAGGCCAGGCCAATGGCAGGAGTCAACAACTCCCTGCTGGTACCCCTCCCCCCCAACAAGACCCTAAATACTTAGGCAGCCATGTGCTGCCTCCCAGTCACATTTGCAGGAAGCTGAATAAAAGCAGAGCTGGAACTCCATCCAGGCTCTCTTATATGAGCTGAGACTTAATCTACTGTACCACAGTGCCTGTCCCTCCTTGTTACCTTTTTTTTTTTTTTTTGACAGGCAGAATGGACAGTGAGAGAGATAGAGAGAGACAGAGAGAAAGGTCTTCCTTTGCTGTTGGTTCACCCTCCAATGGCCGCTGCGGCTGGCACGCTGTGGCCAGCGCACCACACTGATCTGAAGGCAGGAGCCAGGTGCTTCTCCTGGTCTCCCATGGGGTGCAGGGCCCAAGCACTTGGGCCGTCCTCCACTGCACTCCCTGGCCACAGCAGAGAGCTGGCCTGGAAGAGGGCAACCAGGACAGAATCCGGCGCCCCAACTGGGACTAGAACCCGGTGTGCCGGTGCCGCAAGGCGGAGGATTAGCCTAGTGAGCCACGGCGCCGGCCCTCCTTGTTACCTTTTAATAAGCAGCTATAAGGTCACATTTACCTCAAAAACATATTGATCTTTACAAAATTTTCATCACTGTCTAAGGAAAGATTAATTCTTAACTCATTGTTTACACTGTCAAAAGCATTGGCATCAATAACTTTGTGAAATTTGTCTCTAAAAAGTTATGGCTTTGGGAGGTTGGTGCTGTGGTGTGGCACATTAATACTCTGCTTAGAATGCCCACAGCCCATATCAGAGTGCCTGAGGTCAAGCCCCACTGCTGCTTCCAATCAGCTGCCTGCTGATGTGCCTAACAGGCAGCAGGTGAAAACACAAGTACTTGGGCTCCTGCCACCTGTATGGGACACTGAGGTGGAGTTCCTTACGCCTGGCTTCGGCCTGCCCCTGCCCCTGCCCCTGCCCCTGCCCCTGGCTGTTGTAGGCATTTGGGCAAGTGAACTAGCAAATGGAAGATCTCTCTCTCTCCCCCTCTACTTTTCAAAGAAATAAATAAAATAAAATAAAAGTGGCTTCTGATTTTTTTTACCTTAATCAAATTAGTTACTTCTAGAGTTTCTGTAATCGTGCTCGATAAGTGGGAGTTTACTGCACATTTTTCAAAAGAACTCAAGGCCGGTGCCGCGGCTCACTAGGCTAATCCTCCGCCTTGCAGCACCGGCACACCGGGTTCTAGTCCCGGTCGGGGCGCCGGATTCTGTCCCGGTTGCCCCTCTTCCAGGCCAGCTCTCTGCTGTGGCCAGGGAGTGCAGTGGAGGATGGCCCAAGTGCTTGGGCCCTGCACCCCATGGGAGACCAGGAGAAGCACCTGGCTCCTGCCATCAGATCAGCGTGGTGCGCCGGCGCCGGCCGCGGCGGCCATTGGAGGGTGAACCAACGGCAAAGGAGGACCTTTCTCTCTGTCTCTCTCTCTCTCACTGTCCACTCTGCCTGTCCAAAAAAAAAAAAAAAAAAAAAAAAAACCTCAAAACAAGATGCCAGGAGATTATAATCTCCTAAATTTGGACAATAGACATTTCCACTATTCCTATCAGTGGAGTAGGAATTTTGGAGTAACCACATGCTAAGGAATGCTTTTAAAAAGGTGAATAAATAAATAACAAGGTGAATAAAACATTGAAAGACTTTGGGAGTTGGTGCAGGCATGTGTACATGGCAGTTAAGACGTCCATGTCCCACATTGAAAGACCTGGGTTCAGGACCCCTGATTACAGATTCTTGCTAGTGCAGAACATGAGGTATTGGCTCAGGAAGTTGGGTCCTTCCTTACCATTCACATAGGAGACCTGGATTGAGTTCCCTGCTTCCAGGTTCGATCTGACCCAGACCTAACCGTCGTGGGCATCTGGGGAGTGGATCAGCACATGGGGACTCTGTCCCTGCTTCCAAAATTTGAAAAAAAAAATTGACATTGTGGCAATAAGAAGGTAAAGAAGAATCAATTGCTGGGGGAAGAAAGAGAAGAAAAACAAAATCCAGATAATCAAATCAAGTCCCTTCTTTAGGACCTTTTGCATTGGGAAATTTTGCTGTTCATGAAAAAAACATTGAAAAGTTGAGTGATGCTGTTGATAGTGTCACAAACTAGAAGAAAAAAGTTGAGGTCCAAGGTGTGCTTTTGGCTGTGATTCTGAGAAAACTATACCCTAAGTAGACCAACTGTTTAAATGGTTGCGACCCAGCTTCAGTCATCTGGGTGACTGAAATCTTAATCCCTAAGAATAAATTAAGAAAAGCTATACTCTGGTTTCCCAGGGTCCCTGCTGGAAGCAAATCCTCTTGGAATAGGATAACATCATCCAAGCAATCCAATTTTTCAACATTTTTTCTCATATGTCTAGCACTTAGTCACAGACAAAAGGAACAAAAGCCAAGAGAAACAGCAGACAATAGAGGCAGTCATACTGGATCCCTACATAGCAGAATTACCAGGCATAGCTTTCAGTATAACTCTTCCTACTATATTCAAGGAGACAAGATTGAAAATTTGGGCAAAGAACTGGAAACTATTAAAACTGACAGGAAGCAATTAGAAATTCAAGAAATGAAAGATTGCTGAAATCAAAACTATATAATATGTTAAGAAGAGCTACAGCTGATGAGAGAATGTACGAAATGGAAGACAGGCCAAAAGAAAATATTCAAATGAAACTTGCAGGGTGTAAGGTTTATCATGTGTTTGATCAGAGTACTGGAAGGAAAGAATAGAGTGTAGTAAAGGAAATATTTGAAAAACTAATGGCTGAAAATTTTCTTGAGGTTATAAATGAAACCAGATCAACTCAAGAATCACTATAAATTGCAAGCAAAATAAATCAAAAGAAATATGTACATAAATTATTAATAACAAGACTTCATGAAATAAAACAAATTATTAAAAACTGCTAGGGAAACATTATTTTCAAAGAAATAATGCTTAAGCAGCTGTTTTTTATAACAACAGCTATAAAAACCAGAAGACTAAAAATAGACCTTGAATGTGCTATAAAAAGTAACTATCAACCTGAAATCCTATACCCACAAAGCCTATATTTCAAGGATGTCACAAAATAAGACATTTTCAGACATGAACAGAAA